ACAATTTTCGGTAGTCAATTGTTCGTGTTGAATGAGGGATCAATGTTAACGTCAAGTCACCCATTCTTGACGTAACAACAGAAAATCTGTGGACTTATTCCCGACACCAGATTCGCTTTCATTGAACGGATTTCATTTTGTCGCGCTTCTGAATATAATGGAAAACTTACCCTGAAATCTGCATGCTGCGTCTTATGATGCCTGTCAAAATTGAAAGTCTTCATAGCTTTGAATTCCGACTTGCACAATAAACAAACTGCATTTTCACCAATTTGAGACACCACATAAATATGTTCCCATTCGTCTTTGAATGCAGAATACTTCACTTTCTTTGCAGGAGGTTCCATATTTCACGAAAAATTTGGAAGACGACTGATAAAAGACTAATAGAAAATGATAACCGATAAAATCCAGAGGAATGACGGAAGAAAATTCTGACTGTCACTGTGGTATTAAAGAACACTTGTGCCTTCGTAGCTCCAAAATGTCAGACTGAATTTCCCCGAGAACAGTAGGTATTCATGTACTGGAAGAATCTCCCACTCTTCATTATCAGGAATCATTCAATGAGAAGTCACAATTGGCCAGAAATGTTTATTGACAAAATTGACCATTGACGACAACCCAAAATTTTGACGGAAAAATCGAAATCCCTGCAATAAAGGCGCCCGGTTGGCGCGCACAAATCCGCTGGACTGGTGAATCATGTCCGGGTAATTCCCTGCCAAAAAAGCTTAAAACCTGGAGTAAATTTTCAACAAGGAAAAGGAAATTTTGACACATTTATAGTTTTCTTGAAAATGAGGTATTTTCTTTCCCGATAAAAAACCAATTTTCATTTTCGTAGAACTTTACTCGAAGGTGATTAAGATCATAATTTCATTGTAAGTTGCTAATAATGTACTGAAAACTATTGAATGTTAAGCCACAAAAAAGTTGAGTCTATGTGAAATTACTCACATTATTTCAACTCTTTCATCCTAAAAGGAGAAGTTTTTGAAAGAACACTTTTTACATAACGGAATGAGTTTTAGAAGAAAGATTTCATGACATTTTTTCGTAAATGGCTTGAACTAGTATGTTCTCAGGAACATATTGAATATTGGTCAAATTTATTCGATTTTTCAATTAAATGAAGTGATAATTCAATATGATAATGCACGCTGTTATGTCCGGAGAATTTTTGCATCGAAGAACATTGATCATAAGATGGAATTTGTTAATTAATATTTTTGGACGACGCTGGATTTTCTTCTGTTCTTACCGTTGGTGATTTTCAGAATAAACTGGTTGAATGAATGAATGAAAAAATAGGAGACTTTGAATCGAGCGCTTAAATCGATTTACATTGATTGGTGAAAATAATTAGAATTTTAAGGAACCCCTTGCAATCTTTGATGGTTCTATTGGGGATTTTACAATTTGATGGTTACTCACTGCGATCGGTTCTTATTTCTTAAAATGTGAATTCTTGGGGTGATTTCAACACGTTTCTCTGCCAGATGACAATCAGTACACTATCACAGATACTTAGGTGGAATACCTGTCTTTCACTTAGTTGTTTTGATGAATTTTATTTATTATTTTAAGTCCAGGCTCTCAATAGTTTTTAATAGTCACTTAATAGTTAATTTCGAGTCACACTCACCATTCACCCACGATTACTACTTATTCCCTTAATCTGCAAGAGATTATTTACTCTCGGTTTAAGGATTCTGTATCCCCGACCAATTGCTAATTTATGTTCCCCAATATTATTTAGGAACACTCCGAAAATTTAATTTAAGATTAACTCCAAAATACTAGCCAAAAGTCGGACCGATTCCAATAATTATTCCGCCAGGAAGTTGTAGCTCTTTCGTGAGCAGGATTTTTCCGACTGGCATTTTTCGGGAGGCTCCTCTATTTATTTTTATGAGGATTGGGAAATTGATTGGAGTGGAAAAGGTGGTGTGATTGCCACCTGTTTGATTTCGAGTTTAATGACCTGGCTCTACTTGCTAGGGAAAAATTGTAAGTTGCTAAATTTTGGTTGCAATGGCCTCTGTGCAATGCAGCGTTGCAGGTTCCCCTGAGGTCATTGGCGGTTTTTTTGTGTGTTTCTCAACTTCCGTGGCGGTGGTTTATTGACTCGGCTCATTTATTTAATTTTTAATCTATTTTTGTTAATTGTGCCTGTTTTAAAATAATCCGGACATTACAACGCAGATTCCATAATAACATTGAGAAACATCATTATTATTTATTTTCTATTATATTATTATTTTGTTGAGAAATATTGTTAATATTGATAAGCGATCGATATTGATCGGAATCGATTAAAAATTATGCATTAAATTTTTCCAAGGATTGAAAGACACTGATAATATTTTTCTTAGGGAAATGTTCCGGCATTTTAATTTGGCGTTGAGAGTGAAAAATAAAGGGAAATTCGGAAATTCATTATGATCAACAACATAATAATAATTATTAATAGTTTTCTGAACAATATTTCCTCTTCAAGCAATATATGGAAGTTACGAATATTTTTTTTGTGCAATGCATTAGTGCACAAACGTATTAACTGATCAAAAAAATCAAAACAAAAATTTGAGTAATTAAAAAGTTACCATGGGAAAAATTGAAGATTTTCTTATTTTACTTTTCTCACCACCAAGTTTATGCTGAATATCCCCTCTACTTTTGCCTACGCGCCGGGCATCACAGGCCCGAAGGGGGGCGCAGCCATAAATTTTATGACTTGAGACAGTTTAGCCTAATTGAGGTAGGGAGCTGTAGTAGTTCCGAGAGCTGAGGTTGCCGACCTCTGCTCTAGAGACTCGGTGTTCGAGCTTGCGGGAGAGTCTACGAACCTGAATCCCTGGTGGGAAACTGGACCCTCTGGAGTCTCAGGGTCTGAACTGGCTAGAGAGCCTAGAATGCTCTTCTCCACAGGTGCTGGACTCCCTGAATACTCTGATTTTGAACTGTCTAGGGAATCACCCAGGTTTTCACCGACATCAGGTGAGATGGGGTCCGGACCTGATTGGGTAGGGGCATCCTAAGCATCATCATCACTGTTGGCAAAACTTCCAATCTGTGGCTCTTCGTCTGACGAGCCAAGGCGTTAGCTGCCGTATCGATGGCTGCATGACGCAGGGGGCGCTGTGTCGTTAAGGGTGCCCCCCGGATACCAGGTGACCTCCAGTGGAATTTAGCCAAGTCAATTTAGTGTATACTAGGCTCTGCCCGGGTGAGACCGCTTGACGTAGACACTCGTAGGATTCAAAAGACTACTGAATGAAATCAAAAGAACCCAGCAAAGCCTCCTGGGACATCAACGAACCTTAACCCCCAACGAACGAGCTTACCTACCTTATGACACCAATGAACCCCCCCCAACTCCTTATGTGGAGGCGCTGATGGCCGACGTGATGGTGAAGGACGAAGGCACATAACTCCTGCTTGGTTGCGATGCGAACTCACACCATCTGAGGTGGAGAAGCTTAAACATCAATGCCAGGAGAGAAGTCCTACACGACTGCATGATGGTCATCGACCTGCTACTCTTGAATTGGGGGAGCGAGCCGACCTTCGCAGACTGTAGAAGGCAGGAAGGGCCATGGAGGAACGTAAACTACTCCAGAAGAAATATAACAAAGCCCTGGCGAAAGCCAGGAAAGAAGGCTGGAAGAGGTTCAGCAGTAGAGTCGAGAACCTGTCCGAAGCCTGGAGGCTTTTTTTTTTTATAGAGGTTTTGGGGAACCTTGCATAGGTTCTGGCCTTGGTCATTCAAGGCCACATCTGAGATTCTTACTCAGTAAACCCCCTGTTTTCCTCTTCGCATCCCTTACCCCCGTGGAACTGCCGTCGGGCATTACTTCACGAAGGGGGCTCTAGCATGCTTAGCATGCTCCTCCTACTTGATCATGTAGTATGTAATGAGCTCTGGGCCATCTATGTTCTAGCGGCATCCCTCCTCTGTCATTCCTTCTCCCGAAGCTCCTTCATCACCTTCGCCGCGAAATCGCTGGTCGCTTGCCAGTTCGCTTCCGACGCACGCATAGTCGTCACCAGCTCCTCGGGTAGGGGATGTATTTCCACTGCGCTATGCCATTTCCTCCGCCTCTTCAGGAATCGGGGGCAGCCGAAGAAGCAATGTTCAGCGTCCTCGACCACACCTGGACAGGTAGGGCAATCAGGGGTATCATCATGTCCAAACCTGTGCAGGTATCCCCGGAAACAGCCATGGCCAGACAGCAACTGCGTGACGTAGAAGTTTACGTTCCGTGTCGTCGGTCAACCCAGGTCCTCACATGCGGGATTAGGCGGTAGGTCCATCTCCCTCTCTTCGATTTCTCCCAGCGCCGCTGCCAGGCAACCAGGCTCCTTTGCCTAGCCTCTACTGTCAGATGGGGCCAACTACTTCTCGCAGGTCCTCTCTCTGCCGGTACCGGTAACCGCGATCCTCCATCAGGATGGTCATCGCCACCATGCCGGCAATGACTCCCACCGCGTCGTCCGACACTGTCCGGTAAGCGCAAGCCGTCGCCTGGTGTTCTGGACCCGGAGGGCGTTCCCCCAGATGGCCATACCGTAGGACAGTACCGTGGTGATGACTGATGCCAGCAGTCGCCTCCCCTCCTGTCTAGGCCCTCCTATATTGGGCATAAGTCGCGCTAGCGCCGCCCGGACCGCCGATGCCTTGGTGGTGGTGTACTCCACCTGCTGCTTAAAGTTCAACCGGGCATTAATCATCACCCCCAGGTACTTGATATAAGGCTGGGAAGTGAGATCATTATTATTCGCCAAAAGGGGGTCTACGATGGCGTCGATCCTGCGGTGGATAATCCTTTCCAGGATCTTCCCCGCCGTGTCGATCATACAGAGTGGGCGATAAGATGCCGGTTCGCCCGCTGGTTTTTTGTACTTTGGAAGCAACACCAGCCTTTGTTTTTCCATGGCTCGGGGAAGGTTCCCGCTCTAAGGCAGCCGCTATATATGGCCATGAACAGGTCAGGTTAGGCCTGAACCGCTGCCTTCAGGGCGATGTTTGGGATGCCATCCAGTCCAGGGGACTTTGCGTTACCCACTCTGCCACACACGTCTATTAGCTCACCCCTAGTTACGGGGGGCACTCCTGGCAACTCTCCTGTATAGTTGGTCCGCTCAAGCACGGCTTGCTTTGGGAAGAGCGCCTCCACTATTTCTCCCAAAAGGACAGGGCACGTCAACGATTGTATGGGTTGATATTTCAGCCGCGCCATGACCACCGTATACGGCCTGCCCCACGGGTCATCTTCCACCTGAGCAAGGAGTTCATTCCAGGCGCGGATCTTGCTCCTCTTGATCGCCTTGGTGAGCCTGCCACGCGCCTGCCTATAGGCATTCTCCAGCGTACTGTCACCCGACCTTCTGCGCGCTCGCTGTACCGCTCGTCGTACCGCTATACAGTCTCTACGTATGGCTGCAATGTACTCGCTCCACCAGTGAACCGGTGGCTTCCGAGTTACAGTTCTTTTCCTCAGCATTGATGCATCGCAGGCCCTAGCCACCCTCCTCATGGTTTCGGCCACCTTCTCCTTGGTGCTGAGTCCATCCATAGGTGCGCTCTGACCCAGTGCTACCGAGAAGACAGCGGGGTCGAACGAGCTCGCTCTCCAGCCGGCTGCGTTGGTTCTTGCCGCAGCAGGTACCGGTCTCCGTGTTGTTCGGACCTCCCAAAGCAGAGCCCGATGGTCGCTCGCGGTGAAAACTTCACTCACCTCCCATGAGTGACCTTCCCTTGCCAGGTGGTCGCTCACGAAGGTGAGATCCACGATAGAGGTGGACTCACCTCTCGCGTACGTTGGCGCGTCTCCTCTATTGAGGAGCACGAGGTCCAGGGACGCCATCGCCTCCAGGACGGCTTGCCCTCTGCTGTTCGTCGCTCTGCTGCCCCACTCGGTCGCCCAGGCATTGAAGTCGCCAGAAATCGCAACAGGGAAGTGGTGATGCGCATCCGCCGTAAGTCGATCAAAGAAAGCGGTGAAGTCCTCGATCGACAGGCTCGGCGGGGCATAGCAGCTGTAGATTCTGCGTCCCGCTACTCTGACCCGCACGAACCCGCACTCCTCGCCGTTGTTAGTGGCCTCAACCGTGTCATTCCCGCAGATCCAGACTGCCGCACCCTGACTTGAGTCCTCGGTCCACCCCCTGCTCCCAAAATGGTAATAGGGTTCCGAGATAGAGGCCAAGTCAATCCTTAGTTCGCGCGCCGTCTGACCAAGAAGGTCATGCGCCGCTGCACAGTCATTGAGGTTAACTTGTAGCACCCTCATTTCCTGCCGTTAGTAGTCTTCTTCTGCAGAGCAGCTCGGTACTCGGTACCTGGCCTAGAGGCTGGTTACAGTACTGGGAGGTCAGGGTGGCGGCAACCTAGGCTGTTTAATGAAGCCAGATGGCAGCTATACCTAAACCTCGGAGGAATCCCATGGACTCCTGCTTGAGGAGCACTTTCCTGGCTTCTCAAGCACAGAAAGGGCGGAAGAGGCCGCAAAGCAAACTGCACGCCGGTATAAACCACAAGATTGAGCTCTAGGAGCCAAAATCATGTACCCACAGGGAGTAGAATGGGCTATCAAATCCTTTGAACCCCTGAAAGCACCACGACCGGATGGTATCTAGCCGGTGTTACTCCAAAGGAGAATGGATATCATCCTGGGGCATCTTACAAAAATTGACAGCCAGCGTAGCACAGAGAACTGTACCACGAGTTTGGGGGGGAATCGAAAATAGTGTTCCTACCTAAGCACGGCCGAAACGGCTAAATCAAGCCGAGAGACTTTCGACCCATCAGCCCAACCTCCTTTGTTTTAACAACAATGGAAAGCCTCATGGATATATATATAGAAATATACTGCTAATAGCTAGGGCGCTGTCTTTTACTCAGTACGCCTACGGGGAGGGGAGGTCCACTGAGACCAGCCTCCACCACCTGCTGGCAAAGTTTGAGGAGGAGATAGGGGCAAAGGGCTACGCAATAGGCGTTTTCCTCGATATTGAGGGAGCCTTTGACCGCACAGGAAACGAGGTCATAAACACAACCTAGTCAAGAAGGGGCTTCCCAGAAACCATCCTTGACAGGGTACAAAGCATATTGGTGAGCAGGTCATTGACTGCCGATCACAATGGCATACAGATAGGAAGTCACACGAAGGGCGGGTGCCAACAGGGCGGTGTTCTACCTCCACCGCTGTGGTGCCTCGTTGTGGACGAGCTCCGAGAAGAACTGAGAGAACAGGGCTTCCTGGTGTATGGAAACGCGGATGACGTGGCCATTGTCACTAGGGGCAAGTTCGTCAATGAGCTGAGCGATGGACTGAACTACTCTCTGAGAACAATGGTGAATTGGTGTCGAAAGACGAAACTCTCAGTTAACCCCGAAAAGACATCGGCTATAATATTCACCAGGAAATACCGAGTGATAAACCCGGAACCGCTGAGGTTAGCGAGTGCAGAGGTTGCCTATGCTACCTAGGTGTTCAACTGGACCGCAAGCTCCACTAGAGGGAGCACATAGAGACACAGATGGGCAAGACGTATGCCTCACTGTAGGCGTGAAGAAGAGCCATGGGCAGAGACTGGGGCTTTAGCCAAAAGATCAGTCTGTGGACGTAGAAGATGGTTCTGCTGCCGGGGCTGATGTACGCCGCTGTAGTCTGGTGGCCCAGGGCGAAGAGAGTGAAGATAAGGAACCGGCTCAAATGCCTATAGGAAAATTTTTTGAGGGCAGCGACCGGAGCCGTGAGAACGACACCCACGGATGCCTTGGAAATTGCCCTGGACCTGCCTTCACTTTATCAGCGTGTGGTGAGTAGGGCAGAATCAACAGCTTATAGACTCCTGTGCCAGGGGAAATGGATGCAAGCGGAAGCGGCACACGCCAAGCTTGACATCCTCAAGAAAAACCCCTGGAACATGAGTCAAGACAGACTGACCAGGAAGTACCACATCAGGAAGACCTTTGATACCTACATCCCTAAGAGGGAGAACTGGGAAACTGTAAAGAAAACAGGCACCAATGTCATGCACTGGTATACAGATGGCTCAGGATACAGAGGCTGCTTTGGAGCAGCAACTGGTCTTTAGGGACTATTGAGACAAAATCTTTTTTTCCCTTGACATATAAAAATTTAAATAAAGGAATTGACAAAGATTTGACCAGACCCGGCTTGAGTCAGGAGCTGTCGGGGCTCAAGGCAATTTAATTATTAATGAAAAGTTGGGCGCCAGTCAATTTTATCAAGATTGACAACTTGTTAAATGACAATAATTTAAAATTAGAACATGAGATTTCGTTATTGGGGGTGGACTCGACTTCGGAGACTCTGTAGAAAGCCAAAGAGAGAGTATGACCAGGACGGAGGGCTACTTACAATGTTTCCGTAGAATAGTCTCCCCTGGCGTGGTGTGAGGCGATAGACAATTATACACACCGTAATACATCAACAATTGTATTTTAATGAAATATGGTACAGGCCTATACAAAATAATCAGAATATAATAACTGACAAAATGGGTTAGTTCACCTGGAACTCGGTACAATTATTCGAATACGAGCAATTTATAAGACGCAACGACAGTTTAGCGGCCGGAAAGAGAGTAACGTGTCTCGACACGCGGGGCACTTGTTGGACGTAATCCGATATTCCGACGCAACTCCGTCGACGAAATAAGGGCTGGGCTTCCTAATTGGCCTGCGATGCCGTTACATTAGTTTAGTCATGCTGGCTTGGGTTGACAATAATTTCCCATTTGTGAGTTTTGAGACTGACGTTGGGGGAATTTCTATTGACGTGTCACATCCTCCTCCTTCAAACCTGAACGTCAGCAACGACTGGAAAAGAGTAATATCATTTGACAAACAAGAGACAAAACTTTGTAACCCACAGCCCCGTCCTTCTCCTCTGCATACTGTCAATTTTGAGAGGAAGCTCTCTGTTTGGCCCATGGTTAAGACTATTCTAAATGAAGGTGTAAATGTGACAAATATATTATTTGAGTAACGGGGATGTGAATGAATCTGGCAGCTCGTTCTGGACGATTACTGCTTCTTGGAGCTTCTTGGCCATGACGGTGACGATGACGCCAAGTTGGGTTCCCTCTTCTAGCTCCGGTCGTTCCTTCATAATTTTTTCGAGCGCGTTCTTGGCCATTGGTGTTAGCAGTGCTTTGACTGCAAGTTCCCGCTTTTCTTCTGATAAAACCCGACCTGACTGGCCTGCTTTTACGAAGGGCGTTCTCCCTGCTCAAGAATTGGCGAACACGATTGGGGTGGTCGCCTGGATCAGTAAACTTGGCCCTGACTTGCCTTCTCAGCTGGGCAGCCTTCTCATCGAAAAGAAACTGATGCTCAGCGGAGATCATCCAGGTGAGCCAGCTGGCATGATTCATTCGGAGATAGACGCTGGCTCCAGGGAAACGTATATTGCAATCTGGACACTCGGGTTTGAGCAGGTTGAAGTCGCCCGAAGATCCAGAACGACGAGAGAGAGTCCACTCGTGCTTGACGCCGTGAGGGTATGGGCAGTCCTCTTTGTCAAAGCCATCTGCACCGCAGATATGACAAAATCCTGGCCGGTAGGGAAGAGTACAGTATTTGAAGTAGTGTTCCCTGCTCCGACAATTCAAACACCCTTTCACTGGTGCCTTTCCAGCGGTGGTAACAAAGGTTTATGGCCCACAACTGGTTTTCTTGACTTCCAGTCTTGTCACAAGGATTTTCGGTCTCTCGATTACGAATTCCTTGAGTACCTGCTTGTCCAGGACTCGACAATCGACCATAAACTTAGTAGCGCTGGTCGGTTTGGCTACTCCTAGCTGTTAGAGGACTTCGTCAAAAATTGGGGCCTTTTCCAGAGGCAGTGGATTCACGGCTACTGAGGGGACTGTCCTGGCACTTGAGTTGTCCGTGCTCAGCAAGGTTTTCCCCGTGGTTGTCGATAACTTCAGCGGGAGTCCACTAGCTGCGATTCTTCTCCTCATCTGATTCTCTTTGTCAATCTCGGCTTGATTGACAATTTTTATCGTGGAGGCTAGTTTCAGTTTTCGTGGTGACAAGTTGTGAATGGCCTCCAGGAGACAGGAGACCTGTGCCTTAATTGCTCCGGTCTCCTCCGACTTCGTGTCCTCCCTTGGTGGACTGGGTAGGACTAACGTCAACCTCGAATCATTCCAAAGTCGAACTTTCTCATCTGAGGACTATCCATCCCGTCATCTGAGTCCTCTTGGTCCGTAGGTGGTGCGGTGGAGTCTTCCATGTCTTTCTGGTCAACTGCGGAGTTGAAGTCGCTCCTGGCATCTTCCATCTCCGCTGCCAGAGTCTGAAGTGGAGCCTCCATCTCCACTCTTTTCTTTTCTAACTCCTCCAATCGGCTGATGGATCGTGCTGCTGATGACATCGATTCCTCAGTCATGATGACGGCGAAGACGGTGGTGATTTTGGTGATTGAAACCGTAGGCCACGGCGTAGCATTTTAGGATCAGTAACATAATATTTGCCGATAATTTTTCCGGTTTGGTCTGCCAATTCCACGATTAACGGATTTATTACTATATTAACGATTACAGAATATCGGTGGGCGAACTTAGACGAGTAACCCTGCGCCTTACTACTAAGTTTCTTGTTAGGGTAATACACCTCGATCCCCGTTTTTATGTCAAATTCAATTACACCATTATTATTTATTCTCGACAGGCGTTTCTCAGAATATTCCCGGAGCTTCTGCTCGACTTGACGTCTGAACTCATCGATTTGATCAAGTCTCTTAGTCCATTCCGCGACTGACTCATCGTTAATTATCAAATCTTCACCAGGTTTATCTACGTGGTTAACGGATGCTTCTCTACTATGGTTTAGAAAGAATCGGGAGACTCTACTGCTAAATTGTATTTTTGGCAATTGGACATTCCATTCGTTATGCTTCCCAGTGATAAACGCTGCGATCACGGGTTTAATTGTTCGATTGACACGTTCGACAGGATTTCCTTGTGGATGGTACACGGGGGTTGTCTCATCTGTGACTCCTCAGGCCTCCAGGAACGCTCGGACGTGCGGATTGATATATTCGCGCCCATTATTAGTTACGATTGATTTCGGGACTCCCGACCGATCAAAAACAGTATCCAATATCGTAACGATGGTTTTACCGAAGCTATTTCGAACAGGGAAGAGCTCTATGTATTTCGTAAATAGGTCCTGTACGACGATAATACAGGTATTGCCTTTCTTTGATCTGGTCTGAGAAACTACTGTGTCAACCGATAATTGACACCAGGG